AAAAAAAAAAAAAAAAAAAAGTAGAGGAAGGTAAGGAAGCAGTCTGGAGTGTGGGTGGGCAGTGGTTTGGAAACATACAGTATAGGCTGGTTTCACTGAGAAGGCGGGAATTGGGCCAAGACTTAAAGGAGGTGAGGGGAATAGCCAAGCAGATGCCTGGGAAAGCATAGTGAGTCCTCACTAATGTTGTTGCTAGGCTCTTGGAAACTGTGACTTTAAGGCAAAATGACATGTAACAAAATCGATTTTACCATAGGCTGATTGATATAAACAAGAGTTAAGTTCCTATGGCATATTTCTGGTCACAAAAACATCACCAAACTTCTAAAGACCCCAAACACTTCTAATATTAAACTTTGAAATAATATGAGCTATACATACATTTAATAAAAGTTAATAAAAACAAGCAAGATAATTCTTTTCTAACCTGCTTATTCTAGTTCAGAGTCGAGAGTGGCTGGAGCCTATCCCAGCAACTTGGGGTACAAGATGGGGACCAGCCCTGGGCAGGAAGCCCTTCCATTGCAGGGCACACTCACACCCACCCACACTCAGACCAGAGCAGTGTAGACACACCAGTTCACCTAACGTGCATGTCTTTGGGATGTGAGAAGAAACCAGAATATGGGGGAAAACCCATGCTGACTGGAGAGAGCATGCAAACCACACAGACAGTGGCCCTAGTGGAAATCAGTTTTTCTCTCATCAATGTTAATAGGCTTCATCTGTCAATGTCTTTTCATTTCTGCCTAGTTTCTGAATTAATGTCCATCCATCTCTTTTTGATCTCATCTGCTAGGTAACTGAGCATTAAGGTGGAGCACGTTTGTAAACACAGCTCTGCATTCCCAGTGATGATGGAATTGCAATATTAGCTTTTCTTTGGCTAAGGATGTTTCAGCAAGAATACCCCACTTCAAGAAGATAAACAAAAATCCAGATTTATGAAATGGATAGTTTAGGAGATGATGCTTTGCTTTATTACAAAATAATTTATTTTAAATAGGGAGCATTAGGTGTATTATATTTAAATGGAAGTCTGTTTTAGAGATTATTCTGTAATAATATTAGCAGGTGAAAGGGCTATTTGAGAAGCCTTATATACTGCTTCGGAACCAAACCTCTGTACTTTGGAACCAAACCTCTGCTTTACATATGTAGAAATTAGACCATCTGGTCAAATCCCTCATTTGTAGCTATAGAAACTGAGCACTGGAGAGATTAAGTAACTTGTCAAAGGTGATCATTAATATCAGAATAAACATTTGTGTAATATTTCTCCTATCCCCACAGTTTCACAAGGAGTAAACAGACCATAGGAATTAGTTCACACCAAACAAATTCCAAAGAGCCTAATCTATATACTAAAGTGACATTAAAAACATTTACGTAGGAGAATGTGTCTGTCAAGTGGATCAGATAGGATGTTTTTCTCTTTCTAAATGTAGGGGTTCTTGTGAAACCTAACGCATCATTGAAAGCTTCTTGATTAATATATAGGGTGTCCCCCCGAAAATGTATACACACACTTTGAATAATTATAAAAACAGTGTTTATTAAAATACATTTCATTTTCAAAATTGAGCTATCAGCTGTTAAAGTGTGTATACATTTTTTGGGGGGGCGCCCTGTACAATCTAAGCAATAGGAACTAGATGGTGTAAATCTTATCAGAAGTGATCAAGTCCTGTAAGTCCTCTTTCATGAGAAATTACACAGTATTTATAATAGAGGATCTTGTCCTTGGCCAAATTCCATAAACAGTAACCAGTAGTCTCCATCTTACGTTTTCCTACATTGCATGTCGACTCACATCTTCTGATGACCGACTGTGCTGCAGTACATTTTATCCTTGTAATTTCACATTCCTACTTTGCTCTGGGAACATTTCCGGGAACTATCTTCTGTTTCTGGGACATCCTCCTGTGTAGACTGATGTCACCTATAATGAGCATTTCTTTATGACCTTATAAATTTGACCATTTACCTAATTTTTATTTCTACCCTACTTGGAGTCTGTCACCTCCTAGTACTCAGTGTAAGTTTAAGTCCAGAACAGGCAGTTTCAAATTTATAAATGGGACAATATTTCAAAAGTCCACTCATAAATTGGTTGTTTGCAATTCATCATTGTTCCATAGAAATGTATCTTGACTGATGTAATCAGGTCCCCAAAGTAACCTACAAACATCCATTTAATCTCTTTGCACAGCTCAAATAGTACAGGGTATTAAACCAGCGATTTTCAGCCTTTTCCATCTCATGGCAAACTAATTATTAAAATTCTGCAGCACACCAAAAAGGCTTTTTTTGCTGATCTGACAAAAAATAGGTATAATTTTGATTCATTCACACCAGATGGCTATTTAAAAAAAAAAAAAAAATGATTTCTGAGAGAGGAAAGGAGGGAGAGAGAGAGAGAGAAACATCATTGATGAGAGAGTCATTGATCGACTGCCTCCTGCATGCCCCCGACTGGGGATCAAGCCTGCAACCCAGGCATGTGCCCTGACCGGGAATCGAACCCCAATCTCCTGGATCCTAGGTCGACACTCAACCTCTGAGCCACACCTGGCCAGGCTGGATGGCTGCTATTGTGTTGACTGTTGTCATTTTTTAATTTGACAATCTAAGGGAAAAGAGGTCAGTGCCCCTGACTAAATAATCAGGTACTACATGATTTATAAATTCTTGCAGCACTCCCATTGAAAATCGCTGGCTTAAACTCTTCCTCCGTCCCTGGATTCTAGGGTAACCCAAAGCAAATTACTGAATTAGGTCAAGTTGATCTTTGGCACCTCTCTTCCCCCTTAATCTCCAAGTTTTCCTTGTCCCAAATCTCTAAGAGCTACTGTCCTTAATTGCTCTGAGTTCAGGACTGCATAGCACTATATCCAAGAAAGATTCATCCTGTACAAAGTGCTCTAGACTCTAAAATGACTTAAGTTCACTGTTGTCCGTCACACCTACAATTGACTCAAGGGGTGGGTGTCACAAGTTAGGACAATGTAAATCTAGTTCCACTAACATTGAGTGACGGAAAGCTCCCAAATACTGTCAGAGGCTTTTAAGGTTTTCGTTTGTTTGTTTGTTTTAATCATCACCCAAGCATATTCTTCCCATTGCTTTTCAGAGAGAGCTTTTCAGAGAGTGGAAGGGAGAGAGAGAGGGAGAGAGAGAGAGAGAAAGAGAGAAACATTGATGTGAGAGAGACACATTGATTGCTTCCTCCTGCACTTGCCCTGACTGGGGCTGGGGGTTGAGCCTGCAACCGAGGTACGTGCCTTTGGCTGGAATCAAACCCAGGACCCTTCAGTCCCCAGGCCAACTCTCTAATCACTGAGCTAAACCAGCCAGGACAGAGGCTTTTAAGTTTTTAAGAGTCCCCCCGCCCCGCCACACACACAAAAACTATCACCATGTGAATTTTAGAAAGTATAATAAAGAAGTGAAAACATTCATGTCATGTGAGGATATATAATTTACTATACCTGGGCCACATCCCAAGAAACTATCCACTTATTTCCCAGTCTCCAGTCCTCTAAACAGATTGTAGTTTTAAAAGTTTTTTCCCTATTATTCTACTTGTGAACCACCACTTTTTCTAAAAGTGTCAAGTTTTATTCCATTTTTCCAGCAGTGCAGCAGAAGCATCTAGGGAATTGCCTGTATGCAAGGTAGAACTGCTAATACCAATTTATTGATCATAAACTACTTAACAGAAAGAATGGGCGAGAGAAGGAAGGACAGAAGCAGAGAAACTTAAGGCTGAGGTCAAGAGCCATTGCTCAGCAACTGGGGGGAACAGGCATCTTCAGTGTGGGTGGGAGTGAAAAACTGAACAACCGCTGTGGAGGGTAATTTAGCAATATCTATTAAACTTTGGGTGCAGCAGTCCTGCTTCTTGGAATTTATCTTATTGATGAATTGCAGGTACACAAAGAAGAATGTATAAGGTCATTGCTTGCAGCATTGTTTGTATTTGCAAAGATTGGAAACAACCCAAATATCCATCCATAGGGAACTGGTGATAGTACAGCCATAAAATGTAATACTGTACAACTGTTACAAGGAGTGAGACAAATTTATACATATTGATATGGAACAACCTATAAAATACATTAAGTCAAAAAAAGCAAGGTACTGAATAGTGTGTATGGTATGCTACCATTTGTGTTTTTAAAATATATACATTCATATATACTTAGAGTGTCTCTGGAAGAAAACTCAGTAAGTTGTTAATAGTGGTTCCCTCAGGGATAGAGTACTGGATGACTGAGAGAGTGGAGTACAGGGGAGATTTACTTTTCACAGTAGAACTGTGTTATTTGAATATTTTACCATGTGCAGTCAAAGAAAATCAAATAACCGTTGTCAAAGACGACCCATCAGAAATGGAGATCATGCGGAAATTGCAGCATGTCAGGACTAGAAGGGCCCTTAGAGATTAGAAAACTGAGTCTCAGAGAGGACATAGATTTGTCCGAGGAGAGGATAGTCCATTTTCTCCAGGCTCTAGCTGCTACTTGCTCTACCTGCGTTCAGGGGTATCAAGTAAAAGTCATGCCTACCTCCATCTCATTTTCCAATCTCACCTTTGCCAGTTAGAAGAGAACCATTATGAAACTTGGATGTGGGGGTTAGGTGACAGCTTGGGAAAGCAGTGTTGTTTCTGTGGGGAGCAGCAATGACTCTCAGGTTCTTTAGCGCATGCTTGACCTTTGGCCTTTTCTCTGAATATACAAGGTTCACTTTTACTTCACTCCCAGAGCCAAGGCACTGCAGGGTAGCCACAGTCAGATTTTGGATGAAGGTGGACCTGCTGGCTTCTGCCTGAGCTTCTGGAAAGAGAAAAGCCAGAGAGAATAAAGGAACCTGGTTCTTAATCTGAATGGCCAAACTACTTTATTGACTCTTTAAATTCCACTGCTGTACTTTCTTCTCTTTTTAGGTTAATTTCTTCCTCAGCATGTATGGTACTTAATATACAACCCTGCCTTTCTTCCTTCCTGCCATGGTCCCTTGAAGATAGGTGACAGCAGTAAATTCAGCCCAGATAAATGCTCTTAGATGGTCTTCTCTCATGCCGAGAGGGTTGAGTGCTGCCTCCTTCTTTCTCCACCCCTTCTGATTTATACAGCCGCGCCTTAGGTGATAACAGTTAATTCAAAAATTGGTTTCCAGAAAGCCTCTTGGGGGGAATATATATCTTTAAAATAGGGTATTTGAGATCTGTCTAGGAATGGGGGAGACAGGCATCTTTTAAAAGTAAAAATTTTCTGGAATGGCAAAGTGATTTTTTTTCAGGAAGGGAGAGCTCATTCTGTACCTGGCATTAGCACATCCTTGATGCTTCTCACACCCTTTGGAAAGAGCCCAGGGAGCTGTTCCACTTGGCAACTGCTATCTCTGAATTCTGGAAGTTAAAAAAAAAAGTCAGGATTTACTGGGTATTTACTGTTTAGAATTCCAGGCACTGGAGAGGGAGACACAAAAGAATGCAGTTCCTTCTCATCAAACTTGCAATTGGTAAGATAAAAACTCCCCTCAAAGACTTTAAAGTGTATACAAGGAGAAGTTAGAGTAGTATATAGAAAAGTGTATACCAACCTGTTATCCTTAGGGGAAAAAGAGGTAAAATGGAGTTAAGTGAAGTTAATGAAAGACTAACTAACCTTTTCCTTCAAACACTGATTATTCTCTCTTCTCCTTCCTGTTCCATCTGCCTTCTTGTTTTAAAACTTTTGAAAGTATAAGTGTAACCTTGGACAAGGTATCTTTCCAGTTTTCCATGGAACCATAGGTCATAGTTATTTATGCTTTTTGGCACATAACTCACAGGGTATTGTGAGTTTTCTTTATTTGCTAAATTTGTTACTGCTGCACATTCTACTGTTTGGCCTTAACTCTGGTGTGCTGGTTATAGAGATGAAATGTTTAGGACGCTTTGAAAAATCATGTCTTAAATTAAGTTATCAAAGAGCAGAAAATGGTGCCATTTCACCTACACACCACTCTTTTCATATCTCCTCTCCCAAGAGCCTCCCCACGTATTTGGATGTAACACTTTAGAATGGAAGACAACATCTTACAAGGGGCTATGAATTTGGGGGCTTAGGTGGTGATAATACTAAAACTGTGACAGCACCCTCCAGGAAAGAAAACCATGTAACAATGGAAGGACTCTGAATGTTAGTTACATGAACAGGACAGAAGAATGCATCACATTCTCTGAAGACTTCTCGCCATGAAACACAACTATCTCTCTGAGTTGAGTAAGTTGCAGTCCTGCAAGAGGATGTATAGGATGACTGGAAAGCATTGCCTACTGAGTACTGGCTATATCTCTATCTGCTGGAATAGACCCCAAACATTTTCTAGGCCTCTCTTTGTATTTTCCAGGTTATTAGGCTAGAGAAGCACTTACCTTTCTTGTTGGCATCATAGGATGTAATGATTAGGCTGAAAACCAAGATGGTATCCATGTCAGCTTGAGTACATGCTCCTTGCAGAGAGAGTATGCTGCTTAATCTGTCACTGTCCCTTATAGCTTTGTCTCTAGGTGTTTTCACTGCCCTGGAACCAAGTTTGACCCTGGGAGAGTCTGGTTCCACCCTAATTATTTTGCCCCATTTCCTGAAGACCCAGGAATAGAGCTGATTGGAGAGAGGACCAAGTCTGCTTGTTAACCATTGACTCAGAAGGTCTTCCTTGACCACTGCTGTGCCAACATAAGAAACGGTAATTACCTAGAGGTTTCCCTAGGAGAAAGGGCATAAACGCCCAGTGATATGCTTTATAAATACTTGCAGGTAGACACGTAGACATTCAATAATGCTCACTGGCACAGGCACACAGACTTACACACCAACATAAAGAGAGAAAGAGATTTCTATTAAGGAAAGTGATTTCTAGAGTAGAGCAGGAAACTGGGACTGAGTAAGTCAGTGGGTTACACTGGAGAAAGCACTGACTAGGAATTAAGAGAACTGGGTTCTAATACAGGCTATTATTATTAACTGTCATCTCGAGAAAATTGCCTGATTTCTCCTCATCTCAATTTTTTCCTCTGTAAATGTTCCGACCAAATTATCTCTAGAATTCATTCACAGTTACACACATAGACTTACATTAGCACAGACGTACCTCTCTAGTTCTGTACATTTTCACACTCCTGAACAGTGAAGTGAGTATAGGTAGACCACCTTTCCATGACTATTGGACTGAGAGGGTGTGAGGAAGAGCTAAATACCCTAGATCAGGGGTAGGGAACATCCGGCCCACGGGCCACATATGGCCCACGAAATTGTTTGGTCTGGCCCTTACAACGCAGCCGCAGTTCCACCCATCACATTATCGGTGAGTTAATTAAATGTTAGACCAAATATAGCAGGCTAATTTTTAAGTTGATAATTTTGTATGGCCCGAGAATTATGTTATAAATATCCAAATGGCCCTTGGCAGAAAAAAGGTTCCCCACCCCAACCCTAGATGAATGATATTGCCTGAAGTTTGGTAAGGTTTTCCTAGACAGATAACTGTTGAAGATTTTTTAAAAAATGCACATTTTAGTAATACTCTGTAGACTTTGTGATAGCATATCTAGGTGGATCATAAAGCAGAAATGAAGATCTACTCAGATCCTCTGCCCAAGCCCAGAGCCTCTATAGTCTTTCTACCCACTAAATGTACTCCATTGAAGCCAACATAGGGTTGGCTATGTGAATGAAGGTTCTAGAGGCTGACACTCTGATTGATAATGATGAGTAGGGACATTCCATGAGGGAGTTCATGAGATCTGAGTCAAATCATGATTTAAATGTTACCCTGTTGCCTGACATTTTAATCCAGGTTGAATCTGGCTAAATTGAGCATCAGGGGAACTCTTGGAAAACAAAAAGGAAAGAGATGTCACCAAAGGACAACATGTTACCTGGAATGGGGACAGAGGAGAGGGAGGGGTGAACATTTCAGCCACAGTGCCTTTCATTTAGCAAGTATTTACTGTGGGCCTACTGTGGGTCAGACCTATTCCAGCAGTGAGCACAAGGCCAAGTCTTTGTTCACATGAAAATATGGGAAGCAGACAACAAGCCTGGTGAAAAAGAAAATAGTGCAAAGGGCTAATAATGAAATACAAATACATATATAAGGTAATCAGAGATTGTGATTGTTGTGAAGCAACAACGATGAGGCAAAGGATTACTGACAGAAGCCACTTTAAGGAGGGTGGTCAGGGAAGACTTCCATGAGGAGGTGAAATGTGAGCTAAGAAAACCAAGAGAGTGGGTGTCATAGAAGCCAAGAGAGGAGAGTATTCCAAGGAAGGAATGACCAGCTGGTCAGGTGCTGAGAGGTGTGAATGATGAGAACAGACTGTCCACTGTATTTGACAGTCCTGTGAGAACAGTTTCAGCAGAGTGCTGGAAGTAGGAGAGGGCAGAGAGGGCTGAGAGGCAGTTGGAGGTGAAGGTGTGTATGTAATCTTTGCAAGACATTTTGCTATGGAAGGGAGCAGAGAAGTGAGGCCAGCTGAGTAGAGGGAACATAAGTACCTCAAATCTTCACTGGTCCAGAGCAGCACTGTCTCATTCTTTTCTCGCCGCTACAGTTGCCTGATTGGTTTTTGCTTACTATTTCTTTAACATGGTTACATGGTTCTCTGCTTCCTTATAGTATCAGACACTTTCCCCTGTCACTTTATTTCAGATTTTCTGTGGATTAGTTCCTAGATGCCATGTTACAATGCTGCCACCTGGAGTGGTGGTAGGAAAGGATCTGAGGGCTTGCTGTTCTCATTCTGTGTCACAAGGTGGCAGAAGAGTTCACTCTTCCCTAAAGAGACCTTGTGCTTGGACGAAGATTAAGGACAAATGTTTACTTTTATCAACTCTCAGAACCTTCCCTTCTTCTTGTGTCTCGGAGGCCCAAAAGTCAGCCTGCATATTAGAGCGGTTATATGGTGGGAGAGCTATATTAACAAGTCACAATAACTATCAGTAGAGGAATGGACCCAGACTGTTTCTCTACTAGATATTTTGACTGGTTTTCTAAGTGTTTGGAATATCTGTGGAGGAGAGGATAGCTTACCTAATCTCCTTTACCTACAACAAAAATTACAAATTTAGGAAGGAAAAAAAGCTATAACATAGGTGAGTCTTATGATGTGTGCGGATGAGAGATGTGACACTGGAAGATATTAGGAAACTGGGACTGACTAAATGAATCAGGGTGGGTTTGTGGGAGGAGCACTTGACAAGAAGCCAGGAGGCTTACCTAGCTTCTAGATTAGACTGAGTCACTTTGAGTAAGTCATTTGACTTCTCTTTAATGAGATGGTTGGACAAGATGGTTTTAAAGGCCTCTTCAGCTCTAAAATTATTATCTCGATGCCGTATTCTGATACTCTTTCTTTTAAGGGTGTATGCTTTTAATATATTTATTTAAAATTATTTTATTGTGGAATATAGCATACATGTAGAAGAGTATATAGAACATAGTATATTTTAAATAATAACAATAACAGCAACAACAATAATAATAATGTGAACATATAACCATCACCAAAAGGAAGAAATCGAACATTGCCAGTATCTTAGAAGCTCTTTGTATGTCTGTCCTTCTGGTCACACTCCTTTCCTTCCTCCCAATCATTATTTTCCCAGGCTTTTTAAAAGTAGTGAACTATCTGTATATATATCACTAAATATTTTAATAAATCTTGCATGCTTTTGAATTTATATAAATGGATGGAGTATACTCTCTGTATTATTTGTTAAATTTATTTTCCAATTACAGTTGACATACAATATTATATTAGTTTTAGGTGTACTACATAGTGATTAGATATTTATATACCTTATGAAGTGATTGCCCGAATGAGTCTAATACCCACCTGACACCATAGATCGTTATTATGATATTACTGATTATTTTTTTGTGCTGTACTTTATATCCCCAGGACTGTTTTTATAACTGGCGGTTACTGCTTCTTAATTCCTTTCACCTTACTCACCCAGACCCCCAACCCTCTTTCCCTCTAACTACCAGTTTGTTCTATGTATTTATGTTTGTTTTGATTTTGTTTCTTATTTGTTTTTTTAGATTCCACATATGGAATCTAAAAAAAGTGAAATCATATGGTATTTGTCTTTCTCTGCCTTACTTATTTCACTTAGCATAATACCTTCTGGGTCCATCCATGTCATCACAAATGGTAAGATTTCATTCTTTTTATTTTAATTTTATTTTATGAGTTTATTTGATCCAAAATGAGGACATATGTTTGGGAGCAAGAGATTTCATTATTTTTTATGGCTGAGTAGTATCCCATTGTATATGTGTACCTTATCTTTATCCAGTCATCTATAGATGGACACTAAGGTTGCTTCCATATCTTGGCTATTGTAAATAATGCTTCAGTGAATGTAGGGTGCATATCTCTTTTTGAATTAGTGTTTCTGATTTCTTCATATAAATACTCATAAGTGGAATTGCTGGGTCATAAGGTAGCTCTATTTTTAATTTTTTGAGGGAACTCCATACTGTTTTCCACAGTGGCTGCACCAATTTACAACCCCACCAGCAGTGCACGAGGGCTCCCTTTTCTCTACATGCCCTCCAACACTTGTTTGCTGCTTTATTGATGCCAGCTATTTTGACAGGTGTGAGGTGATATTTCATTGTGGTTTTAATTTGTATTTACCTGATTAGTGCCTGGGAGGACACTCCAACCAACTGAGCCACACTGGCCAGGGAGATGCTATGTGTTTTGATGTAAGCTTTTTATTATGCATAACACAAAATGGATACACCTTTCTTCATATCCTCTCCCAGTCACTAGCCTCATTAGGAGTAACAGTTATTCAGATTTTTACTACCACAAATGACTTTTGTCTATTTTTGAACTTTATATAACAGGAAACACACTCTTTTGTGTCTGGCTTTTTTTGCTTAATTTTATGTCTACAAAATTCATCCTGTTGTTTCATGTAGCAATAGTTTGTTCCCATTGCTAATTGTATGAATGCACCAATATTTCTTTATTCAATCTACTGCTGAGAGACATTGGGTTATTTTCAGTTTTTGATCATAATGAACAATGTTCCTGGGGAACATCTGAAAGTTTCTACAAAATTCATCCTGTTGTTTCATGTAGCAATAGTTTGTTCTCATTGCTTTATAATATTTAATTGTATGAATGCACCAATATTTATTTATTCAATCTACTACAGAGAGACATTGAGTTATTTTCAGTTTTTGGTCATAATGAACAATGTTCCTGGAGAACATTTGAAAGTTTCTCCAGAATATAAATCCAGAAAGGGAAGCTGGGTTATAGGGTATGCAGGGTATCTTCAGCTTTACTAATGAATGCCAAACTGTTTTCTAAGAGGTTGTCCTTATTTACACTCCTATCTGCAGAGTATGAAAGTTCGTGTTGTCTCACATCCTTCCCAAAGGTGCCAAAGAGCCTTTTCAGTGTGGCACAACCATACATACCGTCAGAGTGCCAACCCTTTGGTTGATTCTCAGAAGCTCAGACTGCCACAGTTGCTTCTATTTACTTGCTTTCTCCAAGTAAGGGTAGACGATTCAGATTATCCCTACATTCCGGATCACCTGCTCTGATACCCTGGGAATATTGATTCTGGGTGGGGTGGGTGGTGGGTTTAATAACACAATCATTCCTGAGCCAAGTGAGCATCCTTAGGCTATTTTGTTCTTGTACTGAACACTAGTAGGAAATGGAGGGAAACACAGAGAGAAAAGGGGAAGTAATATTTTCAGCATGCCTACTGTGTTCCAAGCTTTGTGTTAGAAACTTTACATTTTGATTATAACATTTACTCTAAAAACACCACTTTACAAGGTAGATATTATGTCTCAGTTTTATAGACAAGGAAACTGA